TCCTCCTCCTCCTCCTTCTTCTCCTCCTCCTCCTCTCTCCTCCTCCTCTTCCTCTCTCCTCCCTCCTCCACCTCCTACTCGACTTTTAGTCCTTGAGCCAGAGGTGCACTACAGTACAAACATCTTCTCTGCTCTACAACTCTTGCATCATGTCAACAACCTTTCCTCTCACATTACGATGTTCATAATCATTCAGAGTCCGCTTTCCTTCTCGCATGCCCAATCAAACTTGTGTAGCTGGAGCGTGGTGTCCACTGACCTTCGGTATCTGAAGAAACCTTCTCTAATTTCAACCATCTAGATTTAGCGCTCATGTTCTCCTCATAGTATGAAAGAAACCCCTAGATATAAATCACATTGTCATTCAGCTCTAACGATTGGCCGACGTCGTAGGAAGCTGTGTCATAGGTATTGTCACGCAGGCCTTGTTCCGTATAAGTAGCCGGGCGTCGTATTCCGCGTCGAAGTCGAATGCTTCTCTCCTTCAGCTCAATATGCCACTCACCAGTTGTATGAAAACGCATGAATATCGGCGATTGCATCTTCTTGGTCAGCTGGTCGGCTAGCATGATCGTCGTAGGTCGGTGGATAACATGTCTGATCCTTCTCGTCAGCCGATCTTCACGTAGTGCTAGGATGCCCACTCGGTGGTGTTTGTCGCTCGGCAATGACTTAGAGAAACAAATGAGCTCGAAGAGATCCATTGCATCAGTACAGATATCGACTGGTATCACATGTTGAGATCGTAGATGCATTTCAAGTATATCCCGTGAGGTATGAGCCTTTCCCAAAGACAGGAAGGTAGTCCAGCTCCGTGATTCTCGAGGCTATAATATTAGACATGGCCGCACAAGAAACTGCTGGACTTGTCTCAGAGAGTGAAGTAGACCATGAGACTCGCTGCGCCTTCTTTGGGCGAACAACCAATGGGCATGCCACGCCCCCAAAAAGTCGGGCTTCTTCTCCACGGTCGTGTTCTTGAGCTCCGTGTCGAAGTGCTGGGTGATCTCGTGCCATCAGTATGATACGCGCCTCTTGTGGGTAGCAACTGCTGCTCGTGATGTGGCCGCTGTCCGTAACTTGATCCAGTCGCCGATGTGGTCTAATATTTCGGAAATGTAGTCCCTTCATCTCTTGGTTCGCCAGTGCGTGCTTCAGTGTGCCATTCAGCTGTTTGACGTGGATCCCTCCTGGATTGACCATCTCGGTTTGTAGTTGGACGATCTCCTGTAGAATGTCCCAACGTGTTTTCGTCAACCACAAAATACTCATCAACAATGACCTGAAAGAGTGGTGATCCTTATCACATAGTTCGGCGGTGTTTGCTGTTTTCTCCACCAAGTTCATTGGCTTGAGGCGATTCAAATATGGTTTTTGCTGAAAAAGAAATGTCCCGCTTTGATGTCCCCATGCACAATTCCACACCAAGTGAAGGGCAAGGTGTGATGTTTCAACTTCCCGAGCTTGCGCTCCACTTGTTGCTGCACCCATTGAATTGTATCCTCCATGGCCAAAGCCAGCAGGTTGTCCACGTGCAAAGCAATAATAGGAAGCGCTCTTGTCATCGAACTTGTAGAGAAAATTGCCGTCGTGCAGAGACTTATAGAACTTACGCTCGCTGAGAAGAAAATGCAAGAATGCCATCTGGAATAAAACCGGAGAAGTCCATACATTGCCTTGTTCAACAGCAGTAGACACAGCTCTCTCTCTCTCTCTCTCTGTCCCTCTCTGCGTCCTCAACTGCTGGTGAATTTCAGTAATCGTAGGTGTCGCCGAACATTGGCTGGAGGCTGGAGCTAAACTGTCCGGATGCGCTTGCGCTCGTGACCAAGTTCTTTGGCTCGAGCCTCGATCTCTTGGAAACGTGACCCTTGCAGAAATGCGGTAGAAACACCTAAAGTTCCACAGTCCCAAAAATGCTGGGCTCCAAGAGTAATTTCCCATCTGTGTGATGAAGCCGATGCCGTCGATGAATGTCGAAATGCTCCTTTGCGCTGAACGTCCATAAAACCTCTTCCACACATACGGGATTTGATCACAGGTGGTTGTCGTGTCTTCCACTTGCGTACCCATACTGCGTCAGTCGTGTTGATGCTGCTGCTGGCCTTGTCCTGGGTAAAGACATCATGAGACAAATGACTTGATCTCTTCTCGATCTCCTTTTCTCGACGAGCTCCCAGTACTCGATGACGTCACGCTCAGTCAAGAAATTGTCTTGAGTCACTGAGAAGCATTCGTCTGTTCTTGGCATAGCCGTTGAATGTGCATCTGAAGGTTCCAATATCTTGATAATCAATATGCCATCTCCTCCTTGCAAAACTCCACTGAGAACTGACGATTGGAGTCGAAGAAGGAGGCTGGGAGGAAGGAGACCCAGACACCTAGCACCAGTATCTCCAAGCAAATCCAAATCAATCACAATTTCAGCAGTACCAGGAAGTGAGATGCCAAGAGGTGTCTCAGCCAGTCCTTTGCTTCGCTCTTCTCGCCCGCCGATGCC